ACCCATCTTCACATTTTATAATACGTATGTATTATTTGAATCTTTACATTTTTTATTTAAAACTTTTTACAGTAAACCCATCTTCACATTTTATAATACGTATGTATTATTTGAATCTTTACATTTTTTATTTAAAACTTTTTACAGTAAACCCATCTTCACATTTTATAATACGTATGTATTATTTGAATCTTTACATTTTTTATTTAAAATTTTTTACAGTAAACCCATCTTCACATTTTATAATACGTATGTATTATTTGAATCTTTACATTTTTTATTTAAAATTTTTTACAGTAAACCCATCTTCACATTTTATAATACGTATGTATTATTTAAATCTTTACATTTTTTATTTAAAATTTTTCACAGTAAACCCATCTTCACATTTTATAATACGTATGTATTATTCAAAAATAATTTATAAAAATTTATAATTAATACGTATATAAATAATTTAATACGTATCTTTACATTTACATTTACAGTAAACCCATCTTCACATTTACATAGGTATGGTTTAAGGGTAAATTTTTTTATAAATGACTTAAATGATAAATCTTAAAGGTAAATTTTTTTATAAATGACTTAAATGATAAATCAAATCATTCATAACCTAAAATTTTTTACCCTTACATACGTATGGTTTAAATAATTTATAAAAATTATTGCCATACGTATGTAAAAATCGATTATAAAAATTGCAAAAATTGATTATAATTTTTTTTATATATAATAATAATTTATAATAATCAATTATATAATTTTTATAATTTTTAAATTTTTTTAAATTTTTACAATTTTTACAATTTTTTTACCTTTTATTTTATAAATAAAGGGTAAAAAAATGATTTATATTTACGAAAATTATATTTTGCAATTTTAAAAATTATAAATTATCTAAATGTGAAGATGGATTTACTGTAATAATAATTTACTGTAATAATTATATCATTTTTTTATCCTTTATTTATAAAATAAAGGGTAAAAAAATTGTAAAAATTGTAAAAATTAAAAAAAATTTAAAAATTATAAAAATTATTATTATATATAAAAAAATTTATAATCAATTTTTGCAATTTTTGTAATCGATTTTTACATACGTATGGCAATAATTTTTATAAATTATTTAAACCATACGTATGTAAGGGTAAAAAATGTTAGATTATGAATGGTTTGATTTATCATTTAAGTCATTTATAAAAAAATTTACCTTTAAACCATACGTATGTAAATGTGAAGATGGGTTTACTGCAAATGTAAATGTGAAGATACGTATTAAATTATTTACATACGTATTAATTATAAATTTTTATAAATTATTTTTGAATAATACATACGTATTATAAATTGTGAAGATGGGTTTACTGTAAAAAATTTTAAATAAAAAATGTAAAGATTTAAATAATACATACGTATTATAAATTATTATAAAAAAATTTATAATACATACGTATTATAAATTATTTTTGATAATTTATAAATTATTTTTAATTATAAAAATTACAAAAATTATTTTTGATTATAAAATTTTTTATCCTTCGTATTATAAATCAAACCATTCATAACCTAAAAATGATTTATATTTACGAAAATTATAAAAATTATATAATTAATTATTATATATAAAAATTATATTATTTCAATTTGAGTGTTGTGGGTGTGCCATTGGTGTGTGTGCGCGCGTCAGTGTGTGGGTTACAATAGAAACGCCATTTCAAATGGCGTTTTTAAAAAAAAAAAAAAAAAAAAATTTTTATATACACAGTAAAAGCGCTATTTTAAATAGCGTTTTCTTCAGAAATTTTTTTTTATGTTAAAAGCGCGATTTGGAACAGCGTTTTCTTAATTAAAATCACGATTTCAAATAGCGATTTCACTATTCATCAACTTTTGGCCTCCAAACAGTAAAAGCGCGAATAGTAATAATGCTTTAGCTTAGTTTTGAAATTCCGTTAGAAATTGGCCTAGTTTTAGAAATACAATACAAAAATGGCTTATATTGGGAAAAGCCTCCAATTAGCCCTCTGCAAATTCTATTGAAACCCTTTTTCCCACGAAATCATTTCCCACAAATTCTGCTTGCTGTAGCCTCCACAGCCCATTACCACCATATTGCGTCGCCGGCCTTTCGCCTCCTCGCGTCACCGCCTTCCGTCGCCGACTCCCTGCCTTCCGTCGCCCTCTTCCATCTCAGGTATACTCGGTCTCTCTCAGATCAATTTCTCTCTGTCTCTCTCAGATCAATCTCTCTTTGTCTCTCTGAAATCTCCTTGGTCTCTTTGTTTTTTGTCTGGGGAGGTTACACAATTTTTGCCACAACTAATTGATATGTTTGAAATAAGCTAATAGAAATTAGTGTGAGAGATCTGAGATATGGAATTTGTAACAAATCAGTGTTATATATGGAGCTTTTGGAGCTTGCGGTGTCACCCTCCAATATGATTGTTGTTTATCCTAGAGAAGGATTTTGGGCCATCTGTATAATCAAACTTTCCTTGTAGGTTTCATAGAGCCAAAACCTGTTGGAGCCTCTGAATCGTATGCTATTATTGGGATATATACACACATTTTGTTGCTTAAATCAATATAGATAAGTTGGTTAATCTTTGGAGATTGAAGATGACTAGTATAGAGAAAAAGCATGCTAATATGTTTAAAGAACTTGTTCTGGGTGCTGATAAAATTGAGCATATGGTGTTTGCTTAAATGCCACAGAAACAAAGATTTGCATTATATAGTCAGCAACCATTTTCCTAACCTTGAATTTTTTGTGCATGACACTTCTCAATGGATCTTCAGAAAGAAAACAATTTGCATATTTAGTTTAGGCCTAACTGTGTGAGTGTTTATGACACTATCAGAATTTGTAGCATTTGCCATATAAAATACCATATAAATTGCAGAATGCAGGTACTTCAAGTTTGGAATTTGAACTAAAAGGACCAAATACCCATCATCTACATATTAAAAAAATTCTCTGCAAAGTAATACTAAAATGGCTCAATTTCCAGCACATAACATAAATATAGATAAAAAAATACAACAAAGGTGTAAAATACAATTGAACTATTGCTTCCAATGATCATAACTAGAAACATGTTCAATTTCCATCTACTGCCACCATACTAGTACAATAAACTCTTCTCCCCTGCCACTAGTGACTAGATTAGAAACCAACTAAGACTTGACTACATTATGATTAGTCCTCATATTACATCTGGAAAACTATGTAAGTTGCTGTGATAGTTATACGTGCACATATACTCTCATTAGTTGGTTATACTCTCATTAGTTGTGATAGTTATATCAAATCTAGTATTTTTTAATATAACAAAGTCACATGCATCTAAACACTAACATAATGTTTTAATTTGAAATTCTAATAATTAAAAAAATGTAGCAATATATAAATCCTTGCTGGTAGTGTTAAATCCTTGCTTGCAATTTTTAAAATATGCTTTGGTGTTCAACCTATTAGCTTCTTGGTTGCTGCCATATTGCTAATATTAATGTAGAACTCGATGCCGTCCAATTGCTAGGTACTCATTAGTTGGTTTTCGGTTTTCTATTGTTTGTTGCTAGTCTCCATTGGGTGACTCTGAGTTTAGTGTGTGATGTCTTTCTTGAGATGTTTAAATAGCATATGTCCAAATAGGTGTCAGCTAATGCATCTGAGAAGTAGCCTTGTTGTGTCTGCTTTTGGAGTGTGTGAATGGAGCGGAATAAGAGAATTTTTGGGATTATGGACCTTTCCATGCCTACGTTTAGGCGTTCCTTTCTGAAGCTGTCCAAATCATTTAATCTTCTTGAGCCTTGAAAGGCCATTGTCCTTTGTGTGCATTAATCCTTGGACTTCTTGTTATGTTGTGGAAGTCTTTTATTCATCATAACTAAAAGAAGAGAAACAAAACATTAATAGAATCCGTTGGAGTTTGGAGAATTTGAGCACAAAAATGTTATTGATTCTCAATATCACCAAGAATTTCATGTTTCAGTTTAGCACAATATATAAGGAAAATCTCAATTGTGGAATTTTTATTTCAAGTAAATGTCATCTCTCTTGGATATGCTTTGGGTCGTGGGCAGCTACTTATTAATGGTTGAATTTGTAAAAAAAAAATTATTTGTTAAACATGTATATTTTTAAAAATGTTAAAGAAATATTATTGCAAATTTATATTAGTAAAATATCAGCAATTAGTATTTTTTGTTTTAAAAATTGGTTAAGTTAGTTTGAATGATCAACTAAAATAAAGAGTGTGGTTGGAGAACACAATAGCTAAAGCAATTAGATAAAATAAGGAGTGTACTATTTTTGTACTTTAGCTAGTGAAAAATGAAGAGTATGGTTGGAGTTGCTCTAAAGGAGAGAGACAACACAGACACAGATAGACTCAAACCTCGGTAAAACCCCTTTCCCAGCTGAGCTCTCCAATTGCGTCTTCCTGCAAGAGGAACTCTCACCATAAGCCAATTCATCCCTCTGGACTTCTGCTATTGTTTTCTTTCCCACTATTTATGTAAGTTTTTTCTGTTTGATACCCGAGAAATATCAGAAAGAAAAAAAAATGCGATTTCAGAATCATCTAATTGTAACTAATAAAACCCTAATCTTCCATGAAACCCAAACTTCTCAAACCAAGCGGTATTGTTGTATAGGTTCATACTAAAATGTTCAATTCATGTTATGTTGTTTAGGTATTGAAGGACCGAACACCGCAACCAACAACTTCGCTTAGAAATGGACATTGATTCTGTGGAAGCTGCATCATCAACCAAGCAAATGGATTCGGAGGAGTCATCCAACGCTTCTGTAAATACTCTCCACTTATTTTGCACCCCTTTTTTAAAACTTCGTTGAATTCCATGAATTGCCCAAATTTTGTAATTACATGCTTGATTTGTTGAGTGGTTGTTGTTTTCCTTTGTTCGGTTTTCAAAAGGGTAAAGAAAAAGATGATATTGCTAAGTCGATGGAAAAAATGAAGATTGAGTCTGGGGAGGCAGGGACTTCATCAACCAATTTCAAAAAGAAACCAGTCATAATCATTGTTGTAGGAATGGCAGGTATTACATAATATATATGTTCTTAAGGGCCTCGTTATTATTATTATTATTTTGAGTTTTTTCATGTGGGTTTTGAGAAATATATGAAATTTTTTTAGGCAGTGGAAAAACAACATTCCTTCATCGCCTGGTTTGTCATACACAAGCTTCAAATATCCGGGGCTATGTAATGAATCTTGACCCTGCTGTTATGACCCTCCCATTCGGTGCAAATATCGATATAAGGGACACTGTAAAATACAAGGAAGTGATGAAGCAGTTCAATCTTGGTCCTAATGGTGGAATCCTGACATCACTCAATTTGTTTGCTACCAAGTTTGATGAGGTAAAATTGTTGATTGGGAAGTTTCTCCTCTGAAAACTGTTGTTTAAAATGTTTATATTGTGTGATTGACTGTTTCATGGATGTTGAAAACTGGGACAGACCTATTGTGTCATTATGACCAATTGAATTGGCGATGCTTGTGCTTTATTTATTTAGCTCAGTTCTATATAGTATCTACCATGAGCGTCCATAAGAGGTCTACATATAGAATGGTTTTGTTGGATTAGATCAACTGACCATTTAGCTTAAAGTTTCATTGATATTGAGATGAGAACCCAAACTTGCTTTCATGTGTGCAACAATGATAGGTTTACAAAGTCTTAGTTTATGCAAATTTCATGGAAAATCAGTTTGTGTGTTTCCTTCAAGTTATTTAATTGCATAAATGCGTCTTTGTTCAGTTTTTACTACCTTGTGTTGTGCAGACTAAATGGTGGCAATGTCAATTTCAGGTTATTTCAGTTATTGAGAAACGAGCAGATCAGCTGGATTATGTTCTTGTGGACACTCCTGGTCAGATTGAGATCTTCACCTGGTCTGCTTCTGGAGCAATCATAACAGAAGCTTTTGCTTCGACCTTTCCCACTATAATAACATATGTAGTTGATACACCACGATCTGCAAATCCACAGACTTTTATGAGCAATATGCTTTATGCTTGTAGCATTCTCTACAAGACACGATTGCCTTTAGTGTTGGCATTCAACAAGACTGACGTGGCTCAACACCAATTTGCTTTGGAGGTAATTCGTGCTCCTTTCTTACATGACTGCTTGTTCTGATGTTAATTTTTGTTGATAAAAGTGTTTTCACATTGAGTATGTTGTCAAAAACCTTCCACTTTTGTGTTCTGGTTTATTTTGCTGCTTGTAAATTATGTATGAGTGGTTGTTATGGAGATGAAGTGGTACCACGTGCAAGGACAGACCCACATTTAGACCAAAGGGGGCTGTGAGCCCTAGCCTCTGAGAAAACTCTCTTTATATACAATTGTATAAGCAATATTTAAAGCTTTTGCTCATATGCCCCCCAGCCCTTTATGACATAGCAATATTCAAGGATTTTGCTCGTATGTGGCCCCTCCAATTTAATGCCCCCCCTCTTCCTGATGTGTGTAAAGAGAACCCATATAGAACAACATCAAGTATTTAGAACCCATATTAAAAGACCTCAATAACATCAAGAACATAGTCTATGCTTCAACTGCGTAAAGTTTAGACTAGTAAAGAGTGCATGTAAGGTCTTAGGTTCAGAAGAAATATCTAATACAACGAGTACAACGGCACTGGACTTTGCTTTTCCTTTTTTTTTTTTTCATGGATTACAAGTCTTTGTATTGTGATTTTGGAGTTTATGAAGTATGTTATTCTTGAAAGCAACAATATTTTTTTAATTTTTTATTTCATAATATCTAATGATCTGTGACCCTAAATGGAGTAGATTGGGTGAACTATGCCACCAGAAATATGTTATTATAAAGTATTTTTATATTCAAATCGTTGATGTCTTGCAAATAATTGAAACTCTTTATTACTAGGGAGTTTGCTGAATATTTATGTGGAAGTCCTATATTCTCCCAAATTGAGAGAATAATAGAGCAAGCAATAGGAAATGGCGTGGGCATGCTTTGTATGCATAGTTGTCAAATCGGGGTTCGTATTGTGAATCGAAATGGTCTTATATCGAATTGCGAATCGAATCCAATCGAATCGTGAATCGTAAAGATTCGGTTACTTTTTTTAAATTACTTAAAAACATACATCTACACATTTAGATGTTAAATATATCTTATGAATATGAAATATTTAGACTTAAATCAATAAAAATGTTATTTTGAATGATAATCACGTAGTAAATAGGTAAGAAATTAACAAATGTTCCTATGTAAGATTACTATCTTACCTTTTTTCTTTTTTAGATATTTCTTATCAATCATTGTTAATAACGATAATAATCAAATAAACAAATTATCAATTTTTAAATTAACAATAATTAACAACGATATTGATATTTAGACAATAAACATACATATTTTTCTAAGTACCAGTGAGCAAATAATAGAAAAGAATTATTTAGAACATTTTATTTTAAAGCCTAAAACATTTTAAAAGGTATAACTAACCCCACACATGTAATATTCAATTTAATAAAATAAAAATTGATAATTCATAGTGTAACTTTAATCTTAAATATCTTTAGAAGATATATTATGATTTTTTGAAGGGAAAAAAAATGAAAAGAAAGGTTAAAAATATGTTGTCTGATTGAATCTGACTAAATCCTATTAAAAACTCAAAGCTTACTAAAATAATAACAAATTATGTATATATGTTGGTTATTTTGATGTTAAATGCTATTGAAAATTGTATTATATCATTTTCACTAAAAAGATAGAGAAAAAAAGAATCGAAAATATGGCGGACACAATAATTTCAAAAATTGCATGAATCATAAAAAGTGAATCAAATCGTGAATTGATTCGTATCAATTTTGTAAAAATTGCAAATCGAATCAGGAATTGTAAGATTTTGATAACAGAGTTTGTATGTCAAATGATTGTAAAAATACAAAGAAAACTAGTTTAGGAGGCGGTAATCTAATTGTCTTCGTGACATGAGCCAAAAAATAATCTTAATGCAATTTTAGGTTTTTTGATGTAGGAAAAGAGAACATGATTTGAGATATTTGGCTTAGATTTTCTCTTTAGGGACTGAGGAGTGGATAGACATAGAAGTCTGAAATTTTTTTCTCTACTTGAAACATTTGGCAATAAATAACGAAAGCCTGTCTTCTATACCCACTTTCCGTCTTTTGATCTTGTGCATTATCTTCATTAATTACTCCTCCTCTCCCCTTTCATTGTCTCAAGACCAAGTGCAAGAAGATAAACTCTCTCTCTCGCTCTCTCTCATGTTAATTTTGTATAGTTTTAGGAATATTGGTTTTTTTCTTTATCATAGGATTCTTTAATTGGAACTGCTGCTTCAAAATGACCGTTAAAGATATGCATGTGGCTGTTCTCCCCCATTTTGTCCAGACCCCATTTTTATTTTCAGTTTGTGTGTTGTCTTTAATATGTAAGTTCAGACCTTTGTTTTCTTTTTGTCAATGGTTTGAATAATGCACTGCTGCTACTTCTGTGTGTAAAGTGGATGGAAGACTTTGAGGCATTTCATGCAGCACTGGATTCAGATCATTCGTACACGTCAACCCTTACTAGAAGCCTCTCTCTTGCTCTGGAGGAGTTCTATAAGAATCTAAAATCTGTTGGAGTGTCTGCAGTTTCTGGTGCAGGAATGGAGGCTTTCTTCAAGGCTATTGAAGCAAGTGCTGAAGAATACATGGAAACATACAAGTACAGCACATACTCGACACTTCAAGCTATTTTCCTCCAAGTGTAGTGCAATGTTTTTGTTGTTAGGATAAGCTATCAACTATTACATTTGTGTTGCATTTTGTTGCTTTTGTAGGGCTGATCTTGACAAGAGGCGGGCAGAAAAGCAACGTTTGGAGGAAGAACGAAGGCGGGAGAACATGGACAAGCTGAGGAAAGATATGGAGAAGTCCAGGGGAGAAACTGTGGTATTGAGCACTGGTTTGAAGGACAGAGAAACCAATAGTAAGGTCATGATGGATGAAGAAGAAGAAGAAGAGGAAGACGAAGATGTAGATGATTATGAGAGGTTTTCTGATGAGGATGAAGATGTTATAGATGAGGATGAAGATGAAGAGGTTGGCAGGTTTTCATTTTAACTGCTCCTGTTCCTGGCAAATTTTCTCAAAGCAAAACTTTGTATTTGACCATCAAAAGTAACTGAATTGGTATTTTAAGGGTTTGAAGTTTGGCTTTGTGCATGCCTGCTTGGATACCTTCCTTGAACTTCAATGTTTTCCAGTGGGGTTACATTACATAACAAAATTCAGAGTTATCTTTGTTAGTATGTGCTGATCAGTTTGCCTTTGTTACTGCTGTTGATTAATTTGTATTTGAAAAAGTTTTGAGACTTAGTTAAGTTTCATATTTGCTGATAATCCTAGGAAACAAGAAAGGGTTTTAGAGAAGCTGTTGAGAAATTTTCAAAGTTTGGGCAAAACTTTAGGTCATGATTGAATGCAGTGCAGATATGGACATCATTTATTGTTGAAGGCATGGTTAGATCACAATTAGGACAGTAAAGATGCAATAGGTTTCTGTCAATGTTGAAAATTTAGTTAGTATTCCCTTAGCATAACCATGGCATGTGCACGTGGTATTTCCGACCTGAGGCCATGGGAAATACGTTGTGGCCTATCTTGTTTGTCACCTAGCCGACCAAGTTGGGTTACTTCAGACTGTCGATCCTCGTGTGGAGCGTTACTCGTATCAGGATTAGGTTCTCCACCTAGATCAGGATTAGGTTCTAACCTGCAAATCAAATGGGCTTGAACCCCAAAACCCATTCTCTCTCTCGTACAGGAAGCACAATGGCTGCAAATGATAGAAAGCGATGGCAGCTGTCCTTATGATCAACATTTTCGGCGATATGTAGTAGAGCAAAAATTATTTGGTGTCCATTGGGCTTGGGGTATTACGTGGCCCATTGGGCATACCAATCACTAAATATTATGTTTCTTACCGTCTCTTCAATATCTAATATGAAATCGTGAATTTCATAGTTCTCTAATCAAAATTTCTATAGAATACCACCTTATCATTTCTCTTGGGCGTGGAATAACTTTTTGTAATAAAGTGCTGGAGAAAGTGGAGAATTTTTACATAATTAATGAGGTGTTTGGGAATATAATAAGATTAAAATAACCCATTAAAAAGCAAAATAGATTAAAATAATAAATAAGACAAAATATTACATCTAATCTATAGTCATTTAACTTTGTCTCTTAAAACCATTAGATCAACTACAAAAAATAAAAATAAAAATCAATTAACTTTCCAAACAAACTATTTTAGCTAGGCCAAAATAGTTAAATGGCTAGCTAAAATAACAAACTTCCCAAATAAGGCCTAAATAAAGTAGTGAGCACTTGATATAAGATTGACTTTTTTTTTAAAAAAATAAAATAATTTGGTATATTTTGCTATGTTAGTTCCAGGGAAAACGGGATGCCAAATTATGAGAATCTAATGCTAAAGAGGCTTTTGATTGTAGCCCATAGCAAATAATTGTAGTTTTTCCTTTAATCATTTTTGTCTCTTTGTATTTATTTTTATAAAGCCTATGATTAGTCTTGACTAGGGTTTTAGAAATTTTTGCAACTCTTGGCCGTAAAGTCTTGCCAAGTTAGGTATGCATTAAGTTTGGTTTTGTTTGTATTCACCATCTTGTATTCTATATATTGGCTTTTACGCCAACATAATGGACAATGTGGTGATGTGATTTAAATAAGATGATGTGACTTAAATAAGATAGTGACTTTTTGACTTTTTGGCTTATTTAGTACATGCCAAACTAGCCCCAAGTTAGGTATGCATTAAGTTTGGTTTTGTTTGTATTCACCATCTTGTATTCTATATATTGGCTTTTACGCCAACATAATGGACAATGTAAATTCTCTCCATCTTTGTGCTTCCAACTTTGTCTCTAACTTCTCCATCATAATTCCATACTCCATAACTCCATGATAAAAAATAGTAAAATTAATATCATTTTTAACTTCATTTGTCTGAATAAAGTCAAAATTTTCTTCATATTCCCATGTGCCAAATAATTCGTGATCAATTGGCTCTTCCGCCTTTCTTTTCCCTTTATTTATTTCTGGTGAAATATCTTGATCTAATGCTTCTTCAGATGAGGATGATTGACTGTCATCATTATTAGTTGACATATTAATATCATAATTAAAGTGCTGTAAAAGGGTTTCATGTTCTAGATAAGTTTCTCTTATGTGGTCGAGTTGCCTATTTCTTTCATCAATACCTAAATCTGGGTCTTTATATAATTTTCTCCAATAATTCAATATTTCAACAATATTTTCATATTCAGTCCTATTATAGGTATTGGTTTGAAGTACCATAATATTTTCTGTACCATAAAATAGCCTAGGGATGTAACTATCTCCTGGACTATTTATTCTATCATTGTTTATGAAAGATATAGTTTCTAATTTTGTCACCAAATTGTTTATTTGGTTTTTTACTTCTTTATTTAAGTCAATATTTACTATAGAACCCAAATTTTCTATTTTAGATTCTATAGACTCAATTTTGATTTCTAGATAATTTTGATTTATTTTTTGATTTTTATCTAATTTAGAAAACCAAGAACACATAATATTAATAATATTATTTAAACTAGAACACACGCTATTTATATTTGTAGACTCTTTAGTAATATGCAAACCATGATCATATTTATTATTAACATTATTTTTTGTATTTCCAAAGCATATTATATGTTCAGAGTTAATTGCCATTATAGATTGTTGTTGGTACTTAAGACCTTCCTAGTGTATTATCTGGTGCCTAAAGCCTCTCTTTGTGATCTTAAAGACTTAATTATGGCCAATAGTCAAAAGATCTTAATGAGTATATGGGTTGTGGCATACACTAAGCATATAGGTTTTACAACAACTATAAATGAAACAAATAATTATGAAGATACAAAATACAAAGGATACACAACTAAAAACTTAGACGGTTTTTTTTTTTTTTTTTCTAACATAAAGCACACCATACACATTTATACATATCAAAATTTATACATAGATAGAAATACTTACATAGTTTGATCTTACTTTCAAAAGTTCTTCGCCAGACTCTGATACCAATTATAAACACAAAAAAAGAAAAGGAGCTTTTTACTATTTTTTACTATTTTTATTATGGAGTTATGGAGTATGAAATTATGATGAAAAAGTTAGAGACAAAGTTGGAAGTACAAAGATGGAGAGAGTCTATATTGTCCATTATGTTGGCGTAAAAACCAATATATAGAATACAAGATGGTGAATACAAACAAACCAAACTTAATGCATATCTAACTTGACAAGACTTTACAGTAGAGTTGCAAAAATTTCTAACATCCTAGTCAAGCCTAGTCATAGGCTTTATAAAAGGTCTACATAAAAATAAATACAAAAAGACAAAAATGATTAAAGGAAAAACTATAATTATTTACTATGTGCTACACTTTTTACTATTTGCTATGTTATTCTTCATACTAGTGGCATGTGGGCTCAGATTTGCTAGGAATAATGTTGATTTATCTTTGTCAAGTATTTGAGAGATGAAAGATTTTTCATTTATGTTTTGTTTGATTTATGAATTTGAGTAAGAATTTTTTTTTTTAAAAAATGTGTTAAATATAAGTAAAATATTATATTTCACATTTCAGTAATATCTAATAATTTTTCAAATAAGTAAGCATCCTAGATTTTAGCAAGATAGTAGGATGCTTAAACGTTATAGTCAGGTGGCCGAAGTCATGTCCACTTCAAATTGATTCTATAATTGAATCCTACCTTTAGGGGCATTGAAAATAGGTCAAAACCTTTAATACTTCAAATGTTTGTTGAATGTGTCTCCAAAATCATGTAGGATAGCCAAATTAGTTGTTTGATTTCCAAAATCATACGTTCAGAACAAAATAAAAAAAAAAGAAAAAAAGAAAAAGAAAAAGGGTAATCAAATTTAGGTCTCTTTTACAAAATGCAAAAAAGTCAATTCATTGACTATTTAATTTATTTAAGTCATATCATCTCTTTATTTTTTGCATGTCTTTTCGTAATAAGTAAAAAAATTAACATTTTTAACATTTCTCAAAACAAAGGTTAGTTATTGGTTTTCAAAATCATTAAGTTTCAAAAGGAAAAAGAAACAATGAGCAAATTGTAAAAGCAAAATGAAATTTGTAAAAAAAAAAAAATTTAATTTAATTTTCTTTAAAATTGTTATTTTATCACAAGCAAAAGTGTTAATTACATTAAAACTCCTCGGCTACATTTCATGGCTAGATTTTTTTTTTTTATGAGATTAGATACGATGAGATTATGAATAAGATTGCGATGGATAACTTATATCATATAATTAGATATGATAAATAATTAGAGATATGATAAGATTATGGATAGGATTGTGAGGAATGAATTAATAGATAAGATAAATTATTGAATAAAAGAGACACGACATTATATTTGATTAGAATGGAATAAAATTATATAATTATTTTTAACTTAGATGAAGGAAAAAATAATGTGTTTTTAACACTTCTCAAAACAAAGGTTAGTTACCGGTTTCCAAAATCATGAAGTTTCAAAAGGAAAAAGAAACAATGAGCGAATTGTAAAAGCAAAATGAAATTTGTTAAAAAAAACAATTTAATTTAATTTTCTTTAAAACTGTTATTTTATCACAAGCAAAAGTGTTAATTACATTAAAACTCCTCGGCTACATGTCATGGCTGGACTATTTTTTTTATGAAATTAAATACGATGAGATTATGAATATGATTGCGATGGATAAATTATACCATATAATTAGATATGATAAAAAATTAGAGATATGATAAGATTATGGATAGAATTGTGAGGAATGAATTAATAGACAAGATAAATTATTGAATAAAAAAGATAAAGCATTATATTTGATTAGAATGAAATAAAATTATATAATTATTTTTAACTTAGATGAAGGAAAAAATAATGTGGAAAAGTCTCATTCTTCTAATCCCAATCCCCATTCAACTAAAGGATTATTACCTTACTTATTTTATCCATGAATTTGTAAATTTCAACCCCATCATCAATTTAGAAATGATAAGAATAAAATGAACTTGGTCAATAATTGAAACAATAATGATTTAGAACTCTAAATAATGAGCTCTAAATCCATCACTAGTGAGGTAGAAAATGAAAAAAAAAAAAAAAAAAAAACACAACACACACTGTGATAGTGGGTATCATTAGTGGTAGCATCAAGGCCTTGTTTGGCAATTGGCTTTTTTAGTTAAAAAGCTAAAAAATTACGAAAAAAGTCAAAAAGTTAACAACCTATTCCAAAAATCAAAGATTCTTTTTTCTCCCTACTCTTTGCACATCTTTTCGTAAAAAGTCAAAAAATCATCCCAAACATACTAAAATTTTTTACATCACATTTTAGTTAAAAAGCCAAAAAGTTACTGAAAAAACATGTTCCCAAACGAGGCCTAATTAGTGGTCTCAAGCATTATTGTAATTGAAAAGGATAAATGTAACTAAACCCTAATCAAAAGCAAGAGAAGATGTACTTATATAAGTATACTTTTTAATTTTTAATTAAAAAAATAGAAAAAAAAGATATATATTTAAAATAATTTTTTAACTTTTTACGAAAAGATACGTGATAAAATATTATAATAAAATTAAAATAACTATTATACCTTTTTTAACATTTAACTTTTTAATTTTTGAATAATTAAATTTAAGAAAACAAAATAATAATTTTACCTTACAAACTTCTCCAAATAATATAAATTTTTTAACTTTTTAAATAAAATTTAAAGTTTTTAACGGTATTTTAATTTATCCCAAACCAACCAACCAACCAACCCATAAAAGATTCTTACTTGAAGTAAATGACGACGGAGTCTCCAAATGGCCAGCTACACGGCTCTAACTCTCTCTCCTCTCCCTCACTTGGAGATTTTCAACTTTTCATAAAGTGCTTCTTATCCAACAGCTTGCTTTCTTTCTTTATTTTTTCCCCCGAGAAAGTCCACCAACACCAACTCGTATATTCCTTTTTCATAGTACAATAATAAATTAATAATTGCGTTTCACACACATACATCATCAAATCAAAGCCTCTCTCAAATTCACAATTCAATCGTATCAGTTAGAGCTCAGCAAAAATGGCGAGACACGAAGAGCTTCCAATCCCAGTCTACTCAACACTCGAACCAGTGTACGGAGACGAATCTCAGGTCGAAGAAGCTCAGCTCCGATTCGACAGATTGAAATCTAAGTTCCTCGACGTCTTCGGCCACCCTCCTCAATTCTACGCTCGATCTCCAGGTCCCCCATCCCCCCCCCTCTCTCTCTCTCTCTATATATATGTATATTGTATAATTGTGAGTGAATTGAGTACAGGGAGAGTGAATTTGATTGGGGAACACATTGATTATGAGGGGTACTCGGTGTTGCCGATGGCGATTCGGCAGGACACAATCGTGGCGATCCGGAAGAACGATGCTGAAAAGCTTCTCCGGATTGCTAATGTTAGCGACAAGTACTCCTTGTGTACTTACCCTGCTGATCCAACTCAGGTATGTGACTCTATCTATAGATATGTATGTGTGTGTATGTAATTGTGGTTTATGTTATGTAAGTGTGTGCTTGTGAATGCAAGTTGTTGTATTTAGCACCAGACACAAAACAATGGTTTTATGTGTATTTATTAACGTGGATTGATCGTAGTGCATTTGTGTCTAATGGTAAGAAAGTCGGGTCAGAAATCAGTTTGTGTATAGTATTACTTGTTACTAAATTATTAGAGGATGAAAAAGGGGGAAAGCTAGAAATTGGAGTTAGTTTGATTCCATGATATCAGCTGTCTTTGTCATGAAAATTGAAGTATGAGAGAGAGTTTGAAGATGTGTGTTTGGTTAGACTCTTCAAGGTTATATAGGGCTTGGACTTTGAAAGGTGTATTGAGCTCTCAAATGCTCTACCACGCAGGCAGTAGTAAGCACAGAGACCCAACTGCTCTTTTTCATGTTGCTTTTAAAAAAATTATTGCTTGGCAATCCAAGATGGATCTGCATTTGGAAATTTTGACAGAAAAATTACGGGTGTGTTTAGTTTGTATTTTGAGATAAATTTTCAAAAATTTTTTTAGGGAGAGAGTTTAGAAATTTTTTTAGTTTGTTTGGTTGTATATTTTGAAAATAGTTTTGGGATTTGGGAGTTTGGGGTGATTTGATATTTTGTTGTAGTTGTGTAGATGTATATGAGAGAAAAAGTGATTTAGAAGGAGAGATGAGAGAAAAAGTGATTGATTGATGTGTAGGAGAGAGTGATTTTGGAAATTTTTTTAAAAAAATTTGAACCAAACAAAATTTTGAAAATTTTTCTCAAAAATTGTATCTTGTGATACAAACCAAACAAGTTTGAAGTTGGAGTGAATTACTAAATGTGGAGTTGAAGTGAAAAATAGTCTTAATTTCTATATCCAAAATTTCTTCATGTTTGAGCCAGCAAGAATCTGCAACATTGATGGTAGTAATTAGACAGGCTAAGACCTGTAAAAACTAATTACACGTCTTTGATTTGTGGACTGAATTGAAGATTGGCTCTTGTTATATGTAACCCATTTCTTGCAATGTCTCAACTTGTTATCTTAGCTGCTCGTCCTATTTTTCTTCAAATAAGTACCCGAATTTCTGTCTATGGCCCATCTTTTGTCATCCATTCATTCATCAATTGAATTTATTGCATGGAACACACTCCAGTGATTCCACTACGTCAAGGATGTATTTGGACCAGGTCATTTTGGAGTGCTGTTAATTAATTAATTTTCATAGTGGTCTTATTTCATCCGTGAAAGATCTATATACCATGTTAATTTGCTTCACTTTATTCATTGTGTAGGATATTGATCTGAAGAATCATAAATGGGGTCATTACTTCATCTGTGGGTGCGTCCTCGAACCTTACTCCGCACTATTTTGCTTTTAATTACTGACTACAGTTTGAAGTAAATTTGTTCATGTTACTTTCTTGCTTCATTATACCAATTTATGTCAACTAAAGGTTGAAATGATGATGGGTATGTTAGGAATAGAATTAGGGCAGTTTGGGATGGTGACTTCTCAGCAGGTATTGCTCCTGGTCAGAAACAATGCTACAATGCTTCTTGAATTTTCCTAGACTCATGGCTGAGACAAGAGATAGCAATAGTATGGGGTGGGAATCAGGCTGGCAGTCATATATGCATTTGACATAAAATATATTTTTTTCCTAACTCGTTCTGCAAGTGCATACATCAGCATGCTTCTGTAGTCTGTAAAAAAGTTATGAGGGAGACTTTTCTCAAAATGGGTTTGGTGTATCCTTTTTTAACCAAAGTGTTAATGTGGGACTTATTCTTTTTGTAGTTTTAGGTCACAATATCACTGTTAGAATTTCCCATCTTTACCTTCACCTACTCCACTACACACTCCACTTCACCTACCTCCACTTCACCACACACTCCACTTCACCTAACCCACTATCACCTCCACTACACCTACTACCACATTTTCTTCTATATATAGATTGTATAGGAATTGTAATTAATCAATCTTGTAACAATCAATCTCAATCAATAATACATATATTTTTACATGGTATCAGAGCAAGGTTAAAGATTTTGGTGTTCTTCGTCTTCCGGCGGGCGGCAACCTTGCCTTGACCGCCCGTCGGATCTCAACCAATTCAAACCTCCCTCTCCCTCTCCCTCTCGGCACCTCACTGAAACACACCACCATTGCCATCACTCGATACATACACACAAATCTCTCTCTCTCCAGTTTCTGCGTCTGGCTACCAAATTCATTTCCTCGTTTATAGCTTGAATCTGATACAGTTTTCGTTGCAACCCTTTCGAAGAACTCGACATCCATTGCAACTCATGATAGTTCAAGCCCGGAAGCCCCTGCATGAATATCGTATTGTTCACACCATTCGGGGAACGAGAACTTCCATTAAACGAATATAGTTTTTTCAAAACCAGGAGCTGCTTTGTCCATTTCCACCGCGGCAACCCAATCAACAAAGGAAGCATCGTCCCAATTGAAGATCGTGATCCTTGCAGTCCACCCACGACTGTAGTCTGTGTATAAATGCCAGTTGATGCTGACACCGCAGTTGTCTCCACATGGTAAGGGCTTTGACCTGGGTAGGTGCTTAAGATCAGCCCAAGCATTAGCCAGATCAGTTCGATTCTCAAGCGCCGCCGTATCGGCGACGAATTAGAGACCCTCGGGCTCAGCTTGACGCCATCATCATCGGCAGCAGTTGTCGGAAGAGTACTGAATTTTTGGAGTTCGCCGGAAAAGCTGAGACCTGGGACGCCGTCGATGAATTCGGAGGAATCTGGGACGACGACTTTACATGAAAGTGGTGGTTTTGGAGATCAAACGAAACTTCTGAACTTGTTCACCTGATTCGGTAACTCTCTCTCTCTCTCAAAATCAAAATCAATGGGGAGCACTGAAGACCAGAGTAAACCCTCCGACCTCACATTTTTCGAATCTCTCTCCAAGCCTTTGGACCAGAGGCTCTGATCAACCTCTGTGGGTCCGGAGTTCTCGACTTCACATTGACAGTCGGCTCTGATCAACCTCTCTGGGTTCGCCAACTGACGGTGCCGTTGTGTGTTTCCGGTCTCGCAACCTCCCTCGGCGGTGGAAGCAAATCAAAGCACCCGAATTCACCACACCCTCAGCCGTCGAACCCTTTCCGTTCTCATCTTGCTCGCCACTACCGTCACTTCCCACAAGACTCTGCTGGTTTTGCAGCTGCTGCCCCACCACCCAGTAAAGCTGCTTCAACAAAAGCAGACCCATCATCCCCCACTTTTGCACATCCCCATCCCACCACTCCTTCTCTCTCTCCTTTTTTACTTTCCAACCAACCACTTTTTTTTTTTTTTAAATATTTTCCCCCCGAAAGG